GTGACTAAAGAATGATTCCAATTTGTAGTTTGTCATGTGAATGTGAATTAAAGATCATGACTACTGGAATGAAAATTATAAAAATATTTGGTTGTGAGTGGAAAAGGTTAGAAATGATATTGTGGTATTGTGAGGTTGTGGGGTCAGATTTCACCAAACGTTAAACTAATGAATCCTTAATCTCTTGTTAAATTCATTGCTTAGTCAACCCAATAGTTTACTCAAACCTAATCCCTTAGAGCAAGAGCCTAGGTGTGGATATTGAATATCAATCCCTTGAGTATCCAATATCTACACCCGCATTACGGGCTAGGGTTTAAGACTACTAATGGGCCAAGCTCCATTCCTAGATACATTTCCCACTAGGCATTTGTTTCAGAGCTAGTTTCAAAGGTTATTTTCCAATACCCATGGAACCTATATCATGCAAGGAGAATCAATCCAAGGCAAGCATTAAGAATAGAAACAACACAACAATGAATGAACAACATACATATATATATATATCATTGAAAACATTAGGATTACACTAGAATTCGTTGGTTACATCTAACCCCACAAAAAATGGGTGGAACCACTCAAAATTGAGGGCAAAACAAAATAGAGATGAAGGGAGAAATGAAGAAACCGAAGGAAAGACCCACACACGAACAGCTCCAAGCTCCGGGAATCCCTTCCACAGCTCCTAAAACTCGTCCAATGTGTGAATGAGGGAGAAACCCTTGAAAATGGCTTCAAATACGAGCCAGGGAGGTTAGATTAGGGTTTCGCGCCCGGCATAAGTCTTCGCGCCTGGCGCAGCGTCTTCTGAGCACTTTCTGCCTCATTATAAGCCCGGCACAATTACTTTTACGCCCGGCGCAATGTCTCCCAGAGGCTTTCAAGCATTCTCTGCCTTAGAGCAAGCCCGGCGCAATTCGTTCCAGAGTCGATCACGCCCGGCGTGGTGGAGTCTCGCGCCCGGCGCATGTATGACTTCCAGAAGTCCACTGCTCTGTTCGTTGGCTCCTTATGTTTCCAATCCCAAAGATCTTCAATCCTCAAATCTCTAGCTCAATACCTGCACAAAAAATGAGGTGTATTAAGGTATTGTTAGCTGAATTTGGGTTAGTTATATCTGCACGCAAAATGAACCAAAAAGAGAACAACTATATTGCAATGGTTCAAAGGATGAGTGGAATTTGTTCAATAAGTCTCATCGAAAAAGAGGTAAAATTGAGACTTAACAGTGGCACACCTGAGAAATCAACTATTGTTGTCTATACCTGGTTCTCTTCGGAGTTCCTAAAGTTGTTCTATACCTGACCTGGTTGAGATAGGTCAAACGCTGGATTCGGTAGGGTTTATGCCACCTAGACTGCTCAACTTCAGTTGTTGGAGATCTCCCAGTTGTACATGCGTGACGACGCATTAAATATTAAGTTGAATATTGTTGTTGTTGTTGTTGTATTAAAGTTGCTTCTAAGCTGTATGAATGAGTTGGGTTTTATGTTGAACTGCATGGTCGTTTGTGATGATGATTGTTATGCATTTATTGCATGATTGTTAATATGATGATTGTGTGGTATGGACTATTGCCTGTACTTGTATGATTGATTTTTAAACTCTAGCTTACCCTTCTGTTTCCATGTGGTGGAACTGCGATGATCATACTTGGTATGAGAGCAGGTCAGGGCTAGCTTGGAGTTAAGGTGACCGCTGCGAGACGGGGAGTTTTAATCCTCGTGTTAGAGTTGCCACCTTGAGTAGCAGTTTTGTGCTTGACCGGCACTAGGAGATAGTAGTTTTGGATAACTGTATAAATACCTAATACTTAAAAATTTAATGATTTATATAT